GTTCATCATCAAAGCATATGAATCATCAATAATTTGAGCTCGATTAAGGACATGTATTTTCGTATATTCGTTAGAATTTAGATAATTTGCAATTTTTTGCCAATTTATAATATCATAATTGACGCGATAGCATCCTGTAGGAAACAATGATACATTATTTTTATTAATTTTTTAAATTACATATATATAAAAAAATATCTTGACTATTTTTTTCTTTTTTATTTTTTATATTTAAAATATAAAATGTCTATCTTAATTATATATTTTAAAATGAAAATACAAATTAAATATATTATATTTTATACATATTAAAAAACTTTTTACACTGGAAATAATGAGGTTTTTTTAGTAATGAAAAATAATTATAATCTTTAGTAATGAAAAATTATGATAATCTAAAAAGATTTATATGTATTTTCATATTTCAGATTTTCATATTAGATAGATAAACAATTTTTTGCAAAATAAATTTAATTTGCAATATATAATTTTGATTTATGTAATAATTTGCTGTTTTTGTGTATTATCAATGATACTTTCTTTAAGTTTCTCTAACGAGTAAAAGATACGAATTGAGATATAAAAACAGTATGTAATTTTAATTATTCAGAATAAAACAAATTTATCAATCAATACTTACCAATTTGCTGCAAATTAACTATGACCCAATCGTTTGGATGAATTTCAAGTCTTATACTTTTATTTAACGGTGTTAGCCAATAAATAGAAATATTAGAAAAATCGGGATTCGTCTGCGTAGTTAAAGTCACAGGTATCCACCATTTATGACTGGTATTGTTATTGGTTTTTGAATGAAAATGTTCTTGCGAAATTATTGTTTCGCCAGTTTCGTAATTTCGCATCACGTTCACAATGGGATAATGAGTTTGATTCATCCAAGTATCCATCACTTCTTTTATTTTAAAATTTTTGTGCGGAACACTTGATTTGTTCAATACAATTTGCATAACATTCCATAAATCATCAGGAGTAACCGAGTCAAATTTACTAAATTTATAATTTAGGAAATGAATATATTAGGATATGTAAATTTAATATTTATAGCTCAATTATGTCATTAATTACAATTCATTATATATCGAAAATTTAATAACATAATTAATGTAACAATAAATAATAGTGTATTTTATAATGGAACGAATTACTCACAACATATTTAAAAATGTGATAATACCATCCTGAAATACCTCTTCGGTAATTATATGTTGCAGCATGCGCAATATGATAGGCACTATAAAACAATAGGCACGATAAAATAAATGAAAAGTAAATAATATAACATATATAAATTTTAAAATTAATATATTAAATAAATATACTTATATATTGCTATTAAATTATAAATATACTTGTATATTAAATAACTATTAAATAGTTAGTACTATTAAATAAATTTTTATTTATTGTGAGTTTCTCTTGTTTTTCCTTTTTACAGTATTTATATCTAATAGTTTAAGCATAGTTTAATCGTTTTATCAATTTTATTTATATAAATTTACCTTTGTCGTACATATAAGAAAATGTAAGAATTTTTATATTTGAGATATTAAAGGGCTGTTTCGCATCCATACACTCTATTGACGAATCGATATCGTAACTGAGGAAGTCATGTAATTTATCTATTACAAAGAAATCTATCATGTGCCAGTTTTCAAAAATCTACAAATAAATATATTGTAAATATTATAATTGTATTGTAAAAATTGTTTACATTAAAAATAAAAGCTATTTTTAAATGCTACTCCTGCAATGTCTCTGAAAAAGACTTAATTATTTTAATTTTTAAAACTTGTAATAATATAAATATAGCACTATAAATCAGTATAAAGGATTAATTACATCTTTAAAATGATACACCATAAAAAATTGTGATATTAGACATTAACTAAAGCTAATTAAAATTTTACTTTATTATGATGTTTCATTATAAGAATATCCTTTTTTATTTATTTATTTTGTATCAACAATACAATATAATATAACCTTGTCGAGGATATACGTTTGAAAATATGAAGCAAATCCTTCACTTAACCACATGTGAGACAACGATGATGGGGTAATCAAACCACCAAACCATTGATGTGTTGTTTCGTGTGCTATTAATTTCGCTACATTTCTCCGGCGATATAGAGGATCTGTCGTATCATCGTAGATAACTTCTGATTCGCTGAAAATTGCATATAATACATTTATACTATGTATCATACTATGTATTGTTATTACAATGTGATTTAATATTTTCAAATATTGATTATATTATTATTTAGACTTATACGATTATACGTGCGCAGATAACACAGATAAGTCGGTTTTTGACATTGAAAAGCAAACCGAAAGGATTCGATAAGTTATCATTAACGAGTAATTATTTTGCTTAAATTATCCGTATCATATAATATATTACTAAATATTATTCGATTAATTTTTACGATTCATTGTTATAAAAGAGAAAACATTGAAAAAATTTAAATTTATCAAGTATAACTTTAATATTTTATACAATGACAAAGATACTTTTTTACGGCATAAACAAATAAAAAAAATATATATTTTTTCATAAACCTATTTACAATTAATATTACGTTTAAATAAGTTTATAGAACCACATTCTTGCAAATTATTGTTATCTGTGTAAGTCAATCGGGTAATAAAAATATGTACATTTCATAAGTACGTAAAATGTGCATATTCTTGAAATTATTTCCAGCTACTTTAATTTTCGATTTTAATTAGTATAACTTTTTAATTGTGTAAATTACGTGTAAAAGGTAAGTCCCGAAAATGTCACTCCGCGAAATGAAAAATGCGGTATCGCGACGTGATCTATTTTGGAAATTTCCTTAGAAATGTTTGTATATTTGCCCAAATGCTCTGTAACTTTTTTAGCAACACTCTGCGCGAATTTCATTTGTGAAATCAAATGCGATCTGCACCACATGTTGACAGTCTCGTTCGGGTTGTTACTAACGTGAACAAAATCGGTCACCATAACTGCCACGAAACAAGAAGATATAAAAGGAGTGATGTCGAAGTGCGTCCAAATCATGCCATTTCCATCTGTACTTTGCACTCTTATCGGCGTACCCGAAAATGCTCTGAATGTAGCAGGATGTCTTACGGAAATATTGAAAGTGTGTATTAAAGGTGGCTTGCCCCAACACGGAAAGTCTTTTTTGTAGATCGTAATGGGCATAAACGGCATCATAGCTGTCCATCTGTATTTTAATGTATAGAACAAACAAAAAAATTTTTCAAATATTACAGGCTGCTGACTGTTACAGTACTATTTTATCACAGTGCTATTATACAACAATTAATAATAACTTTGTGATACGCATAACATACGCATAATGCAACATGCACGACTATAGCTGTAAAATTTACAAATTAAAAAGATAAGATAAAATAACACATTGTAATATTTTTTAGTTATTTTTTTAGTTTTCTATTTTGATCTATCGAATTTTCGGTTCACGAGAAACGTAAATGCACAGCATAGGTGCAATAAAAGTAGATTTCTTCCGATTTCGTCGCACTATACACTTGACTATTGTACATAAAAACGTACAAATTCAATTATTTTAATTGAGTGCTCTTTTTTATATAGCACAACTATATATAAAACTATACGTTTGAGCATTTTATCAAGCTATGCATATTATGATACAAAATTCTCGGTTTATGCCAACAACATAAGATAAGATAAATTGTATAAAAAAAATTAATGAATTTACATTTACAATTATAATCTTTCCATTATTTTAACGTTTTACTCACATTCTGCCCCCTTTTTTGCTCGTGTACAACGTACGATGTAAGTTGTATTTTTCATTTATTAGCGAACGCCCGATGAATTTCACATAAAGGATGTATGGCCCACGTGACAGCTCATCGTCGAAAGTCAAAAGTGCAGTGTCCGTGTAGTTGTCATAAATATGATTGGCCGGTTTGTAGATTGCACCGTTGTCACCCATCAACGTTGTCTCCGACTCATTAATTTTCATTTCCATCGTGTGCACACGTATCTCGTGAGTCGCACAACGAATTCGGATATTGACATTAGATTCACCGTGAAAGCTGACGTTGTGCTCCGTGTTGACGAGATCCGGCATCAGCTTGATGTCGTAGTGAGTTGGAATTATGCTGTACGGCAAGAAATCGGTCGTCGAGCCATCACCTGAATTCTCGGTGACACAAACAGCCATCGCAGTGGTAAATATTAAGCTAACGCATGACAATAGTCTTAGAAATCTCATGGCTGTTTTCGTTTGAGATACCTTGCGCCAAAGTTTTATCTTCTAGTAAAAAGGAAAGGAAAAAATTGAATAACGAAATGTTGCAGTGAAGAATCATCGCGATTTTATATTGCCTTCTAATGTAGAGAAACGGAAAAAAATATATAGTTTTTACTAAGATAAGAATGTAAGTTATTTAGATGAAAATTAATATCTTTACTTTTTGCAAGAAATTTCATCTTATTGCTATTTGTTTTATTAGTAAATTTTCATTATTATTAATTTCTTGATACATTGGCAAAAAATGTTATAAATATTTTATTAATTTTATTAATTTTGACTTTACTTACGCAAAGGAATGATTAAGAAATAAAATATATATCTCTTCAATAGTTTTTGAAAAAATGTTTTTTAAGAACTAATAGAAAAATATGCATGTATTGACATTCGCTGTTCATATATTTAAACATTGAGATGAAAATTGGTATAAAGCAATATTTAAACGTTTCTAATATTTTTATTTATCAAATGTAAATTGTATAAAAAAGTTTTGACATTGCAATGAGTTTTCTACCTTAGAATTAAAGTTTTTGAATTTAACTTTTATGTCGTTACTTTGAAATAATATTATGATTCTCGTCTCACTGAGTCGGAGA